AGCAGGAAAAAGGGCTTTCAGTGACCACCTCCTGCTTGGGCAGGTCTGTGTGATGAAAAACTGTTCATCTGTTTAACTGAGAACATCCAATGCCATTCACCACCCATCTTTTCCAGTGCTCCTCCTCTCCTTATAGACGTTCACAGGTACAGAATGATGTTTTTATACCATAAAGGCTAAAAGCAGACACACACCTGATGGCATTACGTCACCCACAAGACAGAAACAGCAAGAGCCAAATGAGATTTTACCAGCTGTCTAGTTCTACTTGCATTAAAAATCACTTATTTTACTTCACTAAAAAAAAAATCCACTTAGTCAATTCTCCCAAGATCCAAGGTTTGCATGCATGAGACAGGTACTGGGTTTCCGCTGAAAACCCACGTGTTCATCTGACAACGTGAAGTGCTGGGGAGTGCTGCACATAATTCAGAAGTAGCTGCTCACTGAAAACAAGTCCTTGCCACCCAAAAGCAGGTAAAGAGCAAGGGCACCTCCAGTTACCACCCCTACCCCCTGCCCAGCGCAAAGCTGCTCTCACCGACTCGAGCAGCAGACTCCTACAGATTTTGAAAATGAAAGAAAAATACATCCAGCAGGACAATTAATCCACACTTTGGCTAATACAAGAATTACAAGCAAGGTGACTTCGGAGCCAAGAAAACCCCATTCTAAAGGAAAAACTCAGAACACGCTGAAGAAATCAATAAGGAACTTCAGCCTCAGTTCTGACACCCCTTGGCTCTCCGAGGAAGGCTGTTCAGGTAGGCACCAGCTCTTCCTTCCAGCATTCATTCCAGCCACGGAGGTGGAATTGGGTGCCCCTAAACCAGAAATAACCTGCCATCTTGTCACCAACTTGAGGAAACCAAGGACTACAAAAAAGAGGACTCTGATCCTGCTCTGTGTTTCAGAACTAGAACGGCAAGCTCCAGATCTAGTTTTCGGAGTGGCTGTAAACCCAGCGTTGGGAAAAGCTGTCAACACTTAAAGAGTCCCAGAGCAGCCCACCACAGAGCTGAAGGTGAAAATCTGAGTATTTGCACAACACAAGGTGCGCAGGGCCATTCAGTGGGCTCTTCACACAGACAGAAGCACGTAGGTAGTTCAAGATGTTTAAATAAGCGTTACTTATCTCCTCTAACGAATGTTACTGCGTTCATATTAACTGCATTAAAAAAACAGAAGTGAGGGAGGCAGATTTTAAAAAAAATAAAATAAAATAAAATAGGTCCTCCAAGAGAGCCTGACCACACGTTAAGCTTCAGCTCCTTCGTCGTGACAGGAGGAAGTTCATTGTCAGCTTTGCCTCCTACTTACTAAACACAGAAGCCTTCTCACAGTGGTAACAGGAAAGCAGCCGTCTCATTTTTCTCCACGCAGCGAGAGGCCTTCCTTCTCTCCCCTCAGAGAGCTCGGAAAGGCTGAAGCTGCCGAGTAAAATTCTGAAAGTTCCCTCATGCCCTTGATGTCAGATAATGTGGTCATTTGGCACATCAGAATTAACATCCCTCTCAATATTTCTAGGGATTAGCGCACTCAAGCTTCCAGCACCTCAAAATTTAAAAGATTATGATCACATTTCCTGGACTAACGTCACAGTAATGGACAAATTCAGGACAGTGTCTGGGCTACCTGCAGTGCTCTGGGCATGAAACCAGCTCCGGAAAACAAAGTGGTGCCTAATCATACAGTCCATAAAGTGATTTTATCTGATACTATGCGTTAAGAAGAAATTGGAAGTGTTAAAACAAAAGCAATTCTTCTGTGTGAATACCAAGCCTGTCGCTACATGGGTTTTTGCCTGAAGAGGTATCCAGGAGCAACTAGGCCCCACAGGCTAGGATGCTCCTGAGCTCTGGTTATTTGCAAGAGCAATAGTTTAGCAAGAAAGAAGAGTGGAAAGAGGGATGACAACGCCAAATATTTTACCTCTAAGCAACAGTTATTCCAAATGCACCACTGTAACACAGCGAGTTACTCAAAAGTAGCTCGAGAAACAGGCCAGGGACATGGACAAACCCCAACAGTGTCAGGAGGAGCACAAAAGAGAGAGTGACAGGAGAATATAGTAAGGGACCATAGTTAAAAAATGGCACTAAAAATCTCTGAAGAAGACAGACAGTGCTGAAGAGAAGCAGGTTTAGTAGAGTGACAGATGTAGTGGAAGAGGAGGAACAGAGGAATATTTGGCTGCAACACCACACTTAAAGTTAAAAAAAGTAGGGTTTAGTACAAGCAGCTTTCAGGATTCACCACCAATCAAAAAGAATCTCGGAAAGGATTTTGGGTGTACTTCACCTACAGTTTTGCTTTTTAAGTGGAAAGACTTGGCAAAAATTATTTTAAATACCAAAAACCCCACCACCATTCTAATTAAATGGGTACACCCTCACAATGTGCTGCAGCAACTGGAACTACTCAAACTCAATAAAGCGTGGTCTGATAAAGCAGGCAAGAAACCAGGACTGTCAAAAACCAGCCCAAGAAAAAGATGTTTCAAGTAAAGCTCAGGTAAGTGGCTTGAAAAGCACAAGTGTTGTTTACCGACGATTGTGCATCCAGAAGCTATTATAGCCACATCCAAATACATACCAGCAGCAAATGGAGCGAGCGCAGATCTTTAGTATAGTGAAAAAGGTTCTGCAGCACCTCTTGCACCGTTTTATCCTCTGAGAGATGCTAAATAAAAATAAGTAAGTGACACTTTAATCATCTCAGCCAATCATTTCACACTCACCGGATAAAATACCGATTAGCTAACTTTCAGAAAGAGCTCAGCTCATGCTGGACAATACAATTCTTCATCTCTAGCATTAACTTTCTGGTCTCTTTTGTAACACTTCTAATTTTATTCCAGACTTCAATAAGCAAAGATTCTCTATCGTAACTTGATTTATTCCATATCAAACAGCAAAATTAAATACTAATTCTAGGTAAAGGCTTTATACTTACAAACTAGTCTTAGTTTAGCAGTTTTACTAAAACCAAATATAAAGAGCTTTAAATACCTGAACATTATTATTCCATTTTTGTGCAAAAGACTCGTCAGGAAATGCAGCAGGAAGAGAAAGCTGTTCCTTGAATATCCTAATGTATTGTTTAAAATCAAAGGAATTCATCAAATAGATCTGGCGGTGAGAGAACCTTGATTTTACTCTCTTCTCCAAAAGCTCCAGGATATCCTTATTAAAAAAAAAAAAAAAGTTTTAAAAAAAAAAAGATGATGCATTTAGTGCATGGTTTCCTACACTAAGAACTACAAGAAAACACTAAAGTTGTATTAAGAAGACAAAAAATTAAATTCTTAGGCTGAAAATGCTCTAACAAGACCTTTGCTAATTATTGCAATTGATGTGCCTTGCAATGCCTAACGACCAGCCATTTACCCAGAGCACGTGATGCCTGCGTCACACGGGCTAATGAGTTGCTAGGATACCCGGCAAAATTCCTCCATAGATTATGTAAATATTTCAGTCCCTTCAGTCTGCTTTCAAGACCTTGCAGCCTATCGGGGCTCCAGACAAGTTGTCCGTGTCGCCCAGCCGCAGGCTGGCACCCAGCAGTTCACATGCCTTTTGTCGGACAGAAAGAATCCAGCTTAAAAAAATGATTTAAAAAAAAAAACAAACAACAAAACACCTAAGAGCCAAATCTTCTAAGATCGTCACACAGAACTAAGCAGGTCTGCCACGGAGCTGTCGGCTGACGATGTGAGAAAAAAGCTGACTTTTCGGGGAACACACAGCAATAGATTCATCCATTTAGAGAAACCCAGGCGGTTCCCCTGCCTCATACTGGGACAGAATGTGACACTCCCAGTTTCTAGGAGTTCTGAACAGGCCTTTTGGGGGTTTAAGGGTTTGTTATAGGTCAGTTTTGGTGTTTTCGCTTGCAGTGAGAAAAGGCCTAAAGGATACTGGAATTCCTCACCAAAAAGCGTAAGTAGAGAGCCAACAGCGCAACATTTTTTTGATTTAGGTCACGTGCAACAGGGACCAGTGATTTTATAAAGAACTCAGAAGCAACATTTATCACCACAGCCATGGGACAGCCACTGAAATCACATTCAAAAGCAGAGCAATATGGGGTTCTAAATTACATGTGGTTATGATACCAGACTCAGGACAGTAACGAGGCAAATGGAAAGATTATAATTTAATAAATCAACTATTAACTATTCTATTCACTTCCAGAAATTTGCCCAGCTAAATAGCACCTCAACCAAATCAACCCCACATTCAGGCGTCAGTGAAAGGTTTATTTATTCATCCCATTAAAATCTGGCTATCTTCACCACCAATCTAGTTCATTGAGAAAAACAGTGTAATTTTTATAAAACATCAGGTTCTATAGAGGTACAAAGTAATTATTTCACAATAAACACATAATCTGTCCACAATTCCCTACAATGTCACTATAAAAACCACAGCAAGTTTAATATGGTTGCTAAACCCCTTCTGAACATGGTAATACTGTAGGAAAAGTGTCCTATTGAAAGGTTTGCTTTAAAAATAATTCCTTATCCTCAGAGCAATGATTTAAATACTTGTAGGTTACTGCAAGTCTCTGTACCAACTGCTGACAAAAAACTGAAATGCCCAGGACCCTCTCCAGAGAGGGAATGATGGAATAATAAAAACAGCCACGTGGATAATTATGACTCTTCCGCCTTGTGTCTCCTGCGACACGGAAACCTGCTCCTCTGGCAATAAAACTGCAGGCTTTGCCGTTCTTTGGTCATCCAAGTTTGCTTTGAGTGCAACTGATTGGGGTTTTTTTATTCCCCCCGTGGCCCCCATCTGAATTCAGAAGTCAGGAAAAAGCAGGTACCTGACAAAAGTCTCTTCGTAAATTAAGTAAGGTTTCAGGAGAGGAGAAAACATTCTGACCAAGAAAAGTCTCCTTAGAACAGCTAAAAATTTGGAATGAGAAAGTGCAATTTCTTACCTGTCTACATGTAAGTCCGATAACTGTGACTGGAGTCTGTGCTGACTGGGATATATCAAAAAGGTTATAGAGCAGCGTCTGATTCTTGTGGTGAACAAACAAGTCAAATTCATCCAGTATAAACAAGACTGGACAACTGCTATTTCGATCTCCTGAGATTGCAATTTTAAATGTTAGTAAGGTAACTTCATCATCAGACCTCCATCCCTACAGCTTTCATAAATTGCAGTTTTAGCAAGTTACATATTTTCTTTTAGCTCTTGACTAAGCCCACCTTTCACGTAAGTTCTGCTAAAACAGTGAAAACAAAAGTACATGGAGAATTTGGTAGGGTTGTGTAGTGTTCTGCCAAGCATCATTTCTGGTTGCAAGGCAAGACTGACTCCTGTGGCAAGTTTTTAAACACATGGTCTTTTTAATAGCTTAAAAACTGCATAAAAGAATCTGCACTTCATAACTGATCATCAGACACAAGCCTTTACAGCATCAGTTACATTATGTATAATTTTTTTTAGGGTTATGTATTTTTTACATGATCTTGTAACCATTCTAGGCCGAGATTTCTTGTACAAGTAGATGAAAAAACATGTACATACTAACTTCTCAGTCAAGTGACAAGCACACACATACACGTTTGAACAGGGGCTAGTGCTCACCTTTCCTTAAAGCTTCAAGAAGAAACACAAGATTTTCAGCAAAACTGCCCTACACAGAGAAAAAATAAGTTTACCAACAGATTTTCAATGCCATGCTCAAAATTATCTAGCTACATCAGATTCAGGCACATAATGAAGCCCATCTCCTAAAACCCTGCTTTCAAAACCATATTTGAAAACTTACAATTTCACTTCATGTTGTACAACCAAAACCTCTTCAGGACAAGAAAACTGAGTAAACTCTACATTGATCCACTTTCTTACAGTCTGAAACCTCAGACACGGAGTTATTAGCAATCAGAAGAACATCTACAATAAGCTAAATTTCCAAGTAGCTTTATCTTCCCTTAAATAGCTACTGCATAGTCATTTTCCATCTACACTCATGCAAAAACTGCCACCTAACGTGCTCCGCTGAGAATAATCACTCTGCCGTTTGTAATTTGCACCCTTATTACAGCTGAAAGGATCAAACCTTCATGACAGAGAAAAACAAACTGCTACGGCCATCCTGCCTCAGTTACACACACATTTACACCCTCTGAAGTAGAGATGGGAAATAACTGTGACTGAAGACCACAAGCCCTAACAAAGAAGGCAGAAAAGCCAATTTGTTCTCCAAATGCGAGTTGCAGAAGCTAAGAAAGGAGAAATTTCTACAGAGAGAAGGACATTCCTGCAAATCAGTATGTTTCTGTGCCCGTGTGCAACCAAAGGGATTAGATGGCTCAAGTTTAAAGTAGTACTCCACAGTAACTTCAAGGGAAAAGTACAGGGGAATGAAACGTTAAGTCCAGTTTTGCCTCCAGCATTTTTGGCAGTGAAAATGTGGACCCTGAAAGGTTGTTCCAGTTGAAGGAAAAAAAAATAAAACCACACACAAAAACCCCCTCGTTCAAACATCTAGGCTGAAATGGCATTGTCATGCACTGCCCAGGGAAGTGGTGGAGTCACCGTCCCTCGGAGGGGTTCAAGGAGAGGCTGGATGTGGCACTTAGTGCCGTGCTCTCACCCATGTGGGGCTGTTGGGTCATGGGCTGGACTTGACGATCTCAGGTCTTTTCCAGCCTCAACAATTCTGTGATGAAACAACTTGCTATTTCCTTTTACGATCACAGCTGTATTTGGGGAAAATTTAGCTCACCACCAGCAAGGGTTTTCCATTCTCTGTATCTAAAATCATTTGGGATAAGTAAAATGAACCTTATCTGGTGAGATTTCACCTTTCTCCCCTCCTTATAATTCTGCTTTAGCCACTTGGATTGGGCATTACACATGACTCACAAAAACGGAAACTCTGCCTATCTCTAAGGCCCTGTCTGTGAGTAAAGGAGAAGATGATGCTCAGAGGGATCTTCTGTGGTACCAGAAGGTGGCCTCTCCACAACACTCATGGAGTAACAGGCAACAGCCAGGGCAGCTCACATCACCAACCCAAGCTATTTCATGCTCAAACAAGCGAAACGTAATCCGAAGCTCTTCAGTTATTCTCTTTACTATTGACTTTACTACTAATGCAAATGAGTTTCTTATCTTCGGGAAAAGGTCAATAGAAGCAAATATTCTAATAGAAATTCTGTGCAAAATGAGAGCTCTAGGAAGCCGGGATAGATTTCCCTCTGAACTAGAAAAATTTGCAAACATACTAAAGATACTGCTTTTTGGCTGCTGAGCTTGCTTACTCTTTGTCTTGAAATCTTAAAGCCAATGTTTCCAAAATACTCTACCTCTCTAAACAAAGTCTCTTTAGAATACTTAATGTTTGTTTCATTTAGAGGCTAAGAGAGCCTTTCTGTTCTTGTATTTTTTCCACTGATATTTTTTGAAAAGGTAATCAGGATGCAACAATATTGGTCAATTTGCAAAATGTAACACCCAGCACTTGTGTGGAACTGAAGTACTTGCTGGCACACTTCAAGTGTTTGTAAACCAGACTCTTCACAGGTAAATGCTGCCACAATCCACTACTGCCATCAATTATTAAGCATTTTAAATGAGAAACCTCTGAGAAGAACAAGCCCACTGCGATTCTGCTAACAGACTTTCAAAGCCCGTTCAGTCTCAACAAGCTGCACACTATAAAGCTAGTTTCCTAGGCAAGGGTTTTTGCAGGAAGATAAGTAAAGAGTATAATAAAATTGATCCTTACAAAAACTTTGTCTCCCACCACGTTTTCCAGGTGCAACTGCCTGGTGATCTCCTTCAGGGCAACTTTATCATTAGTCTGCAGGAGTCCTGCAATAAAATGATTTTTTCATGAAGAATTGGCAGTTTTCCTTTGCACCAAGAGGCCATGCCTACAGCCATGAGAAACTTATCCAGAAGCTTCTCTCCATTCCCAGCCTTTTCAAAAATTAATACCAGGCAGTAATTTTCCATATGTAATAAATTACTTCAAACAACTCAATCACAACCAAACCAATTTTTAAAATTTTGAAAAACCATTAAAAGCACACAAGTGTGCTCTACAGAGAGAGATATGAAGAAAGGCCCTTTGGACCTCACAGACAAATGTGTTCATAATCAAGGCCGAAATAAAAATTTTTGTTCAGTACATAGGATATATAACTGACTAGAACATAACATTTGAATATTTCTGTATTACTTGCCATTCAGACGAACTTCCAAGATGTTCTCTCTAACTTGTTTCATTTCCTTGAGCTCTTTTAAGACACGGTTTAATAACTAAGGAAAAAATACATGATTTCTTTATAAGAAGATTAATACATTAAGAGAAGCACATAAATGGATATTGTCAGAAAACAGTATGTGCAGTTTCATTAGATAATTTTTTTTGAACATTTTTAAAACTCAAATACTAAAACTTCACATTCACTATCATGACTGTAGCAATTAGATTTGTTCATTCTTGGAAAGAAATATAAAAATAACTTGATTACGTTAGTCACTTTTTTGAGGGTAATATCTTACTGCTTTAAAAATCTCCAAGAGAGCTTTACCAGTTTGAGATGTGAGAGAATTTGTCTACTTAGCATCACATTTGGCTTCACTGCTTCATTAGATGCTGTAGAACAAAAATCTTGGCTTTACATCTTTAAAGACACTATGCTTACTCTTTTCCTCCAAGTTAGAAGCGTGAGGCAAAATTAAATTGCACATAACTACGTCAACTACTGCTTATAAAACTTACAGTCCGTCAAGAACTTGCACTTGGGAGAAGTCATAAGGAACTTGTGTTAAAACACATATAAGTAGGGGAAATGCTAACTTTTCATTCACTTGCTACTTTGCTTTTGCTTCCCATCTACGTGTTTATACTTATATACACATACATTTACAATTTTCTTGAGAACTAACATCTTCACTTCATAGAGAATTAAAAAAAAAAATCATTCATTTTGAATACGGGATTCACTTACTTATATTCTGGCAGGAAGGATCACAAATTTTCACCTTCACTATCCTTACATAAAAGGTTTGGAAGAAAATGTAAACTTTAATTAAACAATAAAAATAGTTTGAGTTTTGGTGACCAGAGGACACGTGATGTTTGAGGAATTGTTTTCTTGCGGGGTTTTGCAAGACCTTCACATTTGCTCCGATTTGCTTGCAGTATAGAGCTCATCCATCCTTTTCTATAGGTATTGTGTTCAGAAGCAGATACAGTTAAGGCTCCTAATTCAGGTGCCAATATTTGGATACTTGGGAAAAAAAAGCTTATTCCCTTTTCTCAAATTTCTACCCAATAAGCAGATACTATGCATTCTGGCTATTCCCTTACCCCATAATCTCAATTGTACCTCGGAAGTCTACATTGCAAATACATGAAAATCTAAAACCTATTTTCTGCACTACAAGAGCACTTGCTGCTTACCTACAAATCTGTCACTTTTACAGAGGAAGCCCAATAGCAATAGCAGGTTAACTTTTAAAAATTAAGCAATATGTGGCATTAATTGCAAAAATGAACTTCTCTGTGGCAAGAGCCATTACAGAATTGCACCAGGACAAATACTGAAAGAAAGCAGGATCTATCCAGATCACTGAGCAACAAATGCATTTTGCTCTGAAAAAAATTCAATTTTACATGTTTTGGGTACCTTTAGCACATCATGAAACCTGGTGAAGAAGTGTAAAGAATTCCAAAACCATGAATATTTCTGCAAGCCACTGTGGAGGTGGACAGGTACATGGTTTTGTCAGCTGCTATTCTATTTCACAAAATCTCTAGGAACTCGGCATTAGAAAAAAAAACTCAGAGGATTGTTAGGAAGCAGATTTTCCCATAATGTTATTCAACTGAATTAGCTCACAAGAAGTCCTAGAATGTTTTGAAATTATATGTAGGTGATTAGCAATTCTCTCTTTAAAAGCAGGCAGAGATGAAAAATTAGCTCCAAAAGTTCCCAGGACTTCAGCGAGGTTATCTACCTCGTACTTCATTTGACCTTCTAGAAACTTCTAACACGTGTTATACCGCAGTCTTTCCTGATCCTCGGGGTCCAATGATGAGGGCAGAGTTACTTTCTCCATGAATAACAGTTCGTTTCAGCAGTTCCATCAGATGCCTGTGTCAACAACAGCAATAGGTTAAAAACATCAAACCAGAAAACATTCACTGAGACTAAAGAAGAATCTTTAGAGTGTAAGAGAAAACTTTATATATTTCAACTTGTTCTACCCCTAATGGATATTACTATTGTCATGATAGGTCCTTTCTTCCTAACTTCCATCTCCACGTCTGGATGACCCTAAGAAAAAGGTTTCTTTTAAATATGGGTTTCTACTTCAAGAAACGTGATGTTGGATTCCAAAGTTTAAGATTTACTTTTAACACAGCTTACCAATAAAGAGGAGGAAAACTAAAGTAAGCACAAAAATTCACAAAAGAATTTAACTTTCTGGGTCATTAAGCACAGCCTTAGAATATGCATTAAAAATATCTCCTCAGGCTCAAAACCACAGTGTTTTGAGAAACAAGAAAAACAAAACTCAGAACCTGAGAGTTGTACAGAAATTCATAAAACCCAAAGGAAATAATTTTTAGATGCATGAAGCTTCAAGCCATTTAAGGCTGCATAATTTAGAAAAGCAGAGGTAGCAGAAAATTATGACCTCACCTGACTACTTTTCTACTGTGGTTAAAATAGAAAATACTTGGTACTTGAGTCTGCTCACTCACCTGTACTGAGAGTCAACCCCAAACAGTCTTCCAGTAGCATTATGGTGACAGAATCTTTCACGTAAAATTTTTTGCACCTACAGATATAATATAAGACAGGTAGAATGCTTCGTGCTTCAAACACAGAATGTACCAATAATGTAGTGACTGCAATGAAATAATACTAAAATACACAGGTTTCTGTGGTGTTACAAATACTCTGTAACCTGTAAATTTTAATTATCATCAATGATACAGGGTCCTGAAAGTTCATGTAATTCATAGTACTAACTTTTTGTGTAATACAGGCAAAACAAAACATTTACGAGACGACTTAAACAAAACACAACCCACTTAGTTATTCCCCCAAATTCTCAGTGAATACACTTTGCACCACTCCCACGTCACAGCCTTCAAACATTTGAAAGTATCAAATTTAGAGTTTCTTCAAAGGCTCAATTCAGATACCTTGTTCCCAAAATTTGGGAGGGGCGTAGGAAGTAGTGTGATACTGAAGCGAATATATTGCTTACAAAGGATGGAATGAAGTCCACCCAGCTTGAAGTTTAGACCAAGTTCTGAAGTCCTTCAAATTGCACAGTGAATGCCGTTCTTTTAGCTATTCTTTTGGATGTATTGCTTGGGATATCTTTAGACGTATGTGTACACTGACGTCAGTTTTCCACATTAGGAACTGTTACTTCAAACTGCATCTTCAATTCCCAAACAGCCAACCTTCAGCATCATTGCATATTTCTTCCTACCACTTCAGCAGCAGCAGGCAAACTGGACAATGCTCGGTTTTAAAAATTTACAGGAGTCTGTAATGGTACTTCCCCCCATCCCTCATTTAAGCTATCCTAAAATACCTGAAATACTCCATGCTTTTATAAGGCTTGGTGTCCAGTTTAAGTGCTCATTGTCAAAGAATTTCAGAGTTTAAACAGCAAACTGCTAATGAAGTGATTTTCCTTTCCAATCACACTTGAGCACCTTGCCTTTCAGTTAAGTTGACCTGAAAACGAACTATGCCATCGTCATGCATCTCTGTGCCACGATTGCCACTACATTCCTTCTTTTAATCAGAGCTGGTTCATCTTCCCTCCCACATGGCTTTCCTCTACATTCTCCAAGTTGCACCTCTTAACTGAGTCCTTTTTCGTTTCTGCGGAATCCTAAGACATCACCAAAAAGTGCAGTGCCCTATCTCAGGAAACCACAGGCTGAGGCAATACTGTACTGCAGATGTTTTGGGTTTCTCTCGCCTCAGGTGGTAGTTACTCATTCAGGCCTGTCACTGTCCTGGGGTATGTTACTACCAGCCCTTTAGTATGTTGAAAATACGTCATCTTCTAACACTTAGCTAATACCTAATTTATGATGGAATTACCAGCATCAGCTCTCACTGGGTTTGGTTTAAAACTAAATACATGCAGGTGCATCTTTGTGAAGTGCTCTCAGCAAGTCAAAATAATGGAGACAAGAATGACAGAAATCGATTTCGCTAGTACTCCCGCTTTATGAAAGGAACTCCTTTTTAACGTGAGCTGTACTTCTCTACCTGATTTTTCAGTTAATTTTTCTTCTACTAAAGTCTTACTGATTTAATTTCCAGATTTATTCTGTTTCAGTGAATAATCTATCTGAGCAGTCAGAACTGTCCATTCACAGGTGAAAAGGTTTCCTCCTATAAAGGGATTTTATAGGTAAATGAGGGAAAGATATTAAAATACAAGAAAACACAGAACAAGAGGTAATGCACTATGAAATGCATCACAGTTTTTAAGTAATCACTTTGAGAAAACAGAGTAATAAAGGTTAAAAAACCCCACCAAACTGAAAACTGATTTGGCCACTGCTGTACTGCCTAACCTCAGCTGTTAAAAAAAAAGTCACCTAAGTGATTCAAATAGAAAAGGTAAAGAATCTGATTAGATAAAAACAGATTTATGCAAATCTTTGCCACAAATGGCTGTAAAAGTGCAAGACCATGCTTTGCCATTTTCATTAAGACCTCAAAAAGTAAATCATTAACACTTGAAGCAAGAAAACATCAGACAAGAAGCTGAAAGAAATACAGAATTGCACACCCATAAATGCCTTTTTAACTGGTCTAGTATAAAGCTAGAGAACGACATGGATGGCCGAGGATCAAAAAGTTTAATAGCTTAAAAACAAAGCCACCTAATAAAGATGTTACCAACCTGTGAAATGCATTCTGCATTTGTTCCACTGCTCTCCTTCAACTTACGTTTACTCATTGCAGAAGTTTTCACCTTTAAACAAAAGAATACAAAAATTATACTGAATTACTTTGTTTTCCAAGTAACTGTTAGGAACCGTACTTAGATGTCAGTAAACTAAATTCAGTACAGCAAATGCAAGGCAGTTGCTCATTTGTAAGAACTTAAGTTGTCATAAACATTGGCTCTTAATTGATTAAAAAAAATTGACAAAAATTGATAAAAAACCCAGATAAACACCACAACTGAAGCATTCTGAGTTCATTTCTGATTAGAGGAAATCCACATTTACATACAGCTTCTGAACAGTATTTGCTTGAGGATGCCATTCAGCACCATGCAACCAGTACTCAACGCAACGGATACGAAAGCGTTGTCCTCAAGTCTTTTTGCAAAGTTTCTCAAGCAAGTTTTTAACAGCAGCGATGACATTCACAAGCCTCAGCGACGTGCCCGGTCCCACGAAGACAGTGCAGCCATGCACCAGCTGATCCTGCACAGACCCAGGAGCGGCACAGCTCGGGCTTTATGCTGCAGAGCCACTATTGTGCGCAATCAAACGGGCACTCTTCAAGTAAGTTGCACTAACAAGCAGCATACGTACACCTTGTCCTCTGACCATTTTAACCGTTTAAGATGGTTCAATATCACGTATTTATGTTTCCGCAGCTGGGACAAGCTACAGGCACGTAACACGTTAGGCCCATTCAGTCTTTAAAGAAATAATTGGCTGTGCTGGTGCAGCTTATAACAACCACGGGGCCTCTCTGGATACGCAACGATTCTCCCTCTGTGCTAACAGAAAGCTTCCAAGACTTGCTCCACAACAATTTACACTTATTTTAGCGCAGCCCGTTCCCCTCTCCCACAGTTCCGTTCCTTCTCCCGTCAGGCACCGCTCAGTCCCCCGGCGCAGGAGCAAAGGACGACTCTGGCTGCTAAAAAAACCCATAAA